GGTTCGAGAAAATAAGGTTGTGTTCAGATGGAGATGATGATGGTGATTATGATTATGCACCAACAACATGCTTAGAGAGAGACGGTGATGATGATGGAGATTATAATTATGCTCCTGCAGCATTCTTGGAAGGAGACAATGATGATCAAGATTATGACTATGCTCCTACAGCATCGTTAGACGGAGATGATGATGGAGATTATGATTATGCTCCGACCGCATGAATAAGTTCATTGAAGGCTTTTGGTAGAGACAAATTTAGAATAGAAACAACATTCTTGGTCAAACTTACTGTTGTTTAATTCAAACATAAGGAAGTTTAGTCGGAAGAATTAAGAACCTTGGTTTTAATAATCCTAGTCTTTATTAGAAAGAAAAAAAAGGACACATGTAGTTTTATATATAGTTTATTAGATGTATTTTTTAAAGTATTTTACTTTGAATGAATATTTATCTAGTTTTTAAAATTCACTTTCTGGCTCAATCATTTACTTCTTTTAGTGAAGTATTGATAAATGGAATGTCCCACATTGAAAAATAAATGAAATCTTGGGTTTCTTTTATATATAAAATTTAGACAATTCTCTTATCTTTGATCTAATTTTTGATATGTGAGTTAAACTCAAATTTAATTTAATATGGTATCAAAGCTAGACTTGATGTGGGCCTCAAAATCCCTGACACGGTGATGGAAAGACCTCCGGTCCATAAATGTGAACGCACCGAACTAGCTAGACAATGGAACCTCATATAAAAAATATATCGGTTGAAATTAGCCACTGAAGAGCTTCGAAGCTCAAATTTTAGAATTTGATCTGGCACAAACATGAGTTGAGTGAATAATATATCAAAAGGCTCGAAACGTTGAGAGGAACTCATATCTAAATTTTGGGACTATTTAGAGGAGATTTGAGTTGGTTGAGATTGAAAAACGTAAATCGTTTCGCGTGAATAATTTAATTTATCAAAAGGCTCGAAACATTGATAGGAGCTCATATCTAAATTTTTAGATTGTTTAGATACGATTTGAGTTGGTTGGGATTTATTAAAAAATAATCTTATGCCATGTATACTTTATTATATAAATAATATATTTTGATGTATATAAATCTCTTATACATTAATATACATTATTTATGCATAATTATTTATTATTTATACAATATTAATACATTATATATATATCTATAGTCATTTTGTTTAAATTAATTTTTGTTGCTGTATATATTGATAATTAATCCATTAAAGACCGTGTGACTAAAATATCAAAAGATAAGTGACTTTTCTCATTTAAAAAGTGACTTTGCACAAATTTATTTTTAATATATAGTTGAATGAGTATTTAAGAAATCAAATCCATAAGATGACTTGTGAGAAAATTAGTTGTGGAGTATTTCTTTTTTCCCAAAAGCTAAGAATAACTCTTATGAATATCCTGATTTAGAACTTCTTCCAAAAAAATGTATGAAATTAAAGGGTATATAATATAGTCAACCTCTTAAAGTTGAATACTCATGCACAAAAAAATGTCGATATCTTTGCATGCTTTTGATGTCAAATTATCCTATCTATGTGGCATGCCAAGTAAGCATCCACGTAGATTAAACACACTTCCACGTGCCATGCACACACTAAACTTGTTTTTGGCTCATTTAAGATAGAGAGAACTTATTCTTACCAAAATATATGGAGAATATGTAACCTTTTAACACTCATTATATATAAAAATATACATACTATGACATGTAAAGTTAATTTTGGAGCTAAGCATATGGCTTTGCACATTCTTCATGTCAAAGCCACACTTCCTAACGTGCCTAAATGAGTGCACACTTGGCTCTTTCCTATATATACGCATTTTGTTACCTTACCTATCATAACATTAATCATCACATCTTATCAAAAGAGGTACAAGAATACATCTAATATATATCTAGCTCATATTTCAAGATTTCTCTAAGTAATTATAGAATGTCTGGAATTTTCAAGATTATTGGGTTTGAGAAGATCAGAAGGTCGTGTTTGGATGGAGATGATGATGGTGATTATGATTATGCTCCAGCAGCATGTGTTAGAGAGAGATGGTGATGATGATGGAGATTATGACTATGCTCCTGCAGCATTCTTGGAAGGAGACGATGATGATCGAGATTATGACTATGCTCCTGCAACATCGTTAGACGGAGATGACGATGGAGATTATGATTATGCTCCGGTTGCCTGAATAAGTTCATTGAAGGCTCTTGGTAGAGACAAATTTAGAATAGAAACAACATTATTGGTCAAACTTACTGTTGTCTAATTCAAACATAAGGAAGTTTAGTTGGAAGAATTAAGAACCTTCGTTTTCATAATCCTAGTCCTTATTTTAGAAAGAAAAACGAGGACACATGTAGGTTTATATATTACTCTGTTGTTGGGGACTCTAATCAAGATCAATAGCTTATTAGATTTATTTTTTAAAGTATTTTACTGGATGAATATTTATCTAGTTTTTAAAATTCACTTTCTGGCTCGATCATTAATTTCTTTGGGTGAAGTAGTGATGAATGGACTGTCCCACATGGACAAATAAATGAAATCTTGGGTTTCTTTTATAAGATTTAGGCAATTATCTTAACTTTGATCTAGTTTTTGATGTGTGAGTTATACTCAAAGCTAGGATCGATGTGGACCTCATAAAACCTGACACGGTGGTGGAAGGACCTCTGGGCTATAAATGTGCACGCACCGAACTAGACAATGGAACCTCATATAAAAAATATATTGGTTAAAATTAGCCATTGAAGAGCTTCGAAGCTCAAAATTTGAAACTCGATCAGCCGCAAACGTGAGTCGAGTGAATAGTATATCAAAAGACTCAAAACGTTGAGAGGAACTCATATCTAAATTTTGGGACTGTTTAGAGGAGATTTGAGTTGGTTGGGATTGGAAAACGTAAATCGTTTCGCGTGAATCATTTAATTTATCAAAACTCGAAACATTGAGAGGAACTCATATTAAAATTTTGAGACTGTTTAGAGGTGATTTGACTTGGTTGGGATTAAAAAAATGATATGCAATGTATACTTTATTATATAAATAATATATTTAGTAGAGCCGTCAATATGGGCTAGGCCTGTTGGGCCGGCCTGGCCTTGCCCGGGATTTAATAGGACTGGGCTAAAAATTTTGGAGCCCATTTAAAAAAAGGGCTTTTTAGCCCAGCCTGAATAAGCCTGTTGATTTGTGGGGCTTGAGAAATATAGGTAGGGCAAGCCCGTGGGCTAATACAAATTAATTTAAAAATATAATATAATATTAAAATTTAAAATTAAAGAGATCCAAACTCAAATCTATTTAAAGTTTTTTAGGAAATCACTGAGAATAGAAGTTGCATCCACCATGAAAAAGTCCAAACACTTGTTGCTACTCGAAACTGGTTACATGGTTTTTCTCAAACTAGTAATATATTTTTGTGTACATTTAAATATTATAATTCTCAATTTAGTTATTTTTTAATATTTAACTAATTGAAACCGCATATAAATTACATATGAAAATGAAGATGTAAAGACAACCTTCCCACAAGTTGATTCAGATATGCTTGATGAAGATAATCATGAAGTGTTAGATACGCCATAGGTTTCATGAAGTGTTAGATACGCCATAAGTTTCATGATTTTTTAAGGGGTTTATTTTTTACATTTTTATGGTTGGAATATTGTCATAATTTTTGTGTTTTATTGTGATCATTGCAAAACAGTTAGGTTAATATTTCTATTTAGATATTTATACTTTTACTTGAAAAAAACTTAATAAATATTATAAAGATAATTTTATTTGTGGATTTGATTAACAAGTAGTAACATTAACACCATGTAATATTGTTTTATCGATATTTATGATAATATTTTTAAATTATAATTTATAATTTAATTTAATAATTATAAAAAAATATATAACTTTTAAAAAAGTGGGCTGGCCTGGCAAGCCTGTAGCCCACGTACGTACTTGTGGGTTGGGCCGACCGTTTTCTGGCCCACACCAAAAATGGGCTAGCCTGGCCTGGCCCGTAAAATGTCAAAGTCTGTATGGGTTAGCCCGAATGGGGTGGGCTAGCCCATATTGACAGCTCTAATATTTAGATTAATATACATTATTTATACAATATTGATACATTATATATACATATTGATACATTACATATCCATATCGCCATTTTGTCTAAAATAATTTTTGTTGCTGTCCATACTGATAATTAATCCATTAAAGACCTTGTAACTGAAATACCAAAAAGATAAGTGACTTTTTTGATATAAACAAACAGCTTTGCACTAATTTATTTTTAATATATAGTTGAAAAAATAGCATTGGAGTATTTCTTTTTCCCCAAAGTTAAGAATAACTCTTATGAATATCCTGATTTGGATCCTATTCCAAACAAATGTATAGACATAAATATAATCATGCATGAAAGGGTATATAATATAGTCAACCTCTTAAACATTAATACTCATGCACAAAAAATGTACACATCTTTGCATACTTTTGATGTCAAATTACCTTGTCTATGTGGCATGCCAACTAAGCATCCACGTAGATTAAACACACTTCCACTTATCATGTACACACTAAATTTGTTTTTGGCTCATTGAAGATAGAGAGAATTTATTCCCACCAAAATATATTGAGAATATGTAACCTTTTAACACTCATTATTATATATAACAATTAAATACTATGACATGTAAAGTTAATTTTGGAGCCAAGCATATGGCTTTGCACATTTTTCATGTCGAAGCCACACTTCCTAACGTGCCTAAATGAGTGCCCACTTGGCTCTTTCCTATATATAAGCATTTTGTTACCTTACCTATCATAACATTAATCTTCACATCTTATCAAAAGAGGTACAAGTATACATCTAAATATATATCTAGCTCATATTTCAAGATTTCTCTGAGTAATTATAGAATGTCTGGAATTTTCAAGATTATTGGGTTCGAGAAAATCAGAAGGTCGTGTTTGGATGGAGATGATGATGGTGATTATGATTATGCTCCAGCAACATGTTTAGAGAGAGATGGTGATGATGATGGAGATTATGACTATGCTCCTGCAGCATTCTTGGAAGTAGACGACGATGATCGAGATTATGACTATGTTCCTGCAGCATCGTTAGAAGGAGATGACGATGGAGATTATGATTATGCTCCGGCTGCATGAAATAAATTCATTTTAAGGTTTTTGTTAGAGAAAAGTTTAGAATAGACACAATATTTTTGGTCAAACTAGCTTATTGTTGTCTAATTCAAATATAAGGATGTTTTAGATATTAACTAGGAATTAAGAAGTAAGAACCTTGGTTTTAATAATACTAGTCCTTTAAAAAAAAGAAAAGAGGAAATAATTTGGATTAATAATACTTAGTTGATGAGGTCTCTGGTGTTGTTAGGGAGCCTAATCAAGATCATTAGCTTATTAGTTTATACAATATCTTGGTATCAATTTATGAAAAGCAGTGACATGGATTGTAGTCAAATATTGTCTCACTTGATTATAAGATTATGCTCTCTTTGTTTTTACTTAAAGTGTCGTTCTTTCAATGGATATAAGTTTAATTAAGAAAATAAAAAATATATTAATTTTTGTGAAAATTTAAAGTAAAGACCAGTATAACATATATCAAAATGTCTTTAAATTTTCTAGTCTTATTCTTAAGCATGTCAGGAAGGATATATGTTTAAATTAAAGAGTTACTTAATATAGAAAGTTTGAGATTTTTTTTAAACAAACAAAAAAGGAAAGCAATACACCTAAATTAAAATAAAGTGAATATTTATATACACTTATTATTATATTCTTGGTCAAAAGAGGACATATGTAGGTTTATATATTAATCTGTTGTTAGGGACTCTGATCAAGATCAATAATTTATTAGATGTATTTTTTTTAAATACAATATATTATTAAGTTATGAAAAGCAGTGACATGGATTGTAGTCAAATATAATCTCACTTGATGATAAAAGATTATACGCCCTTCGTTTTAATCTAAGTATTTTACTTTGAATGAATATATATCTAGTTTTTAAAATTCACTTTCTGGCTCGATTATTAACATCTTTGGGTGAAGTAATGATGAATGGAGTGTCCCACATTGATGAATAAATGAAATCTTGGGTTTTAAAATAGAATTTAGGTAATTCTCTTCACTTTGATCTTAACTTTTGAATGTGAGTTAGACCCAGACTTAATTTAATATGATATCAAAGCTAGGTCCGATGTGGACCTCAGAAAACTTGACGGTGGACCGGTGGTGGAAAGACCTTCGGTCCATAAATGTGCATGTACCGAACTAGACAATGGAACCTCATATAAAAAATATATCGGTTGAAATCAACCATTGAAGAGCTTTGAAGCTCAAATTTTAAAATTTGATTTGCCGCAAATGTGAATCGAGTGAATAATATATCAAAAGACTCGAAACATTTAGAGGAACTCATATATGAAATTTTGAGACAATCTAGAGGAGATTTGAGTTGGTTGAAAACTTGGAATTGAATAATGTAAATCGTTTTGCGTGAATAATTTAATTATCAAAAGACTCGAAACATTAAGAGGAGTTCATATCTGAATTTTGAGACTGTTTAGAGGCGATTTGAGTTGGTTGGAATTGAAAAAAAAATTAGTATGCAATGTATACTTTATTATATAAACAATATATTTTGATGTATATAAATCTCTTATACATTAATATACATCATTTATACATGATTATACTTTATTTATACAATAACAATATTATTTATATACATATCGATACATTACATATACACATAACCAATTTGTTTAAAATAATTTTTATCACTGTACATATTGATAATTGATCGATTAAAGATCTTGTGATTGAAATGCCAAAAGATAAGTGGCTTTTTTTTTATAGAAACAAATAACTTTGCAGTAATTTATTTTTAATTTATAGTTGAATGAGTATTCAAGAAAATGACGTTATGCTGAATTTTTAGGTTATATTTTTCATATTTTATATTAATCAATTACTCATTTTAGGGATTTATCGAAAAAATATAAAAAATTAAAAAAATTGTTGAAATTGTTGAATTTAAGGTTATTATATTTATTTGTGATTTTTTGGCATTAATTTTATATTATTTTTTTTCATATTTTTTCTATTTTTTATTAGTCAATTACTCATTTTCGGGATTTACTGAATTTTTTCTGTTGAAAACGAGTCGGGTAGTTTATCTAAAAGGGGGTATATCTAGACCTTTTAGAATAGTTTAGGGGTATATTTGACCATTTTCCCTTTAATATAAATGCCACGTGGTAATGTAAAAATGACGTGGCAATTCCATTTGGCATTTAACGCCCATAAGGGCATATCTAGACTAAAAGTTGGACGGTGAGGGCATAAGTGAGCCAAACTTTAAACGGAGAGTATATCTAGACCTTTTCGAATAGTTTAGGGGCATATTTGACCCTTTTCCCTATTTTTAATAAGAAAATTGACGGAGTTCCTATTTTAAGTGCAAAACTATGGTTGAGAAATATAAATTAAGAAACAACAAAAGAATTTCATCGAAGAGCATGTGTGGTTCAGTAGTAGAGTTGTTTAATGTCATAGCAAATACTTGGATTAAAAATCAATACACAAAATTTATGCACGCTATTATTTTCTCAAAATAAATTTAGATTGTTTTTTTATTTAAAGAAATTGATAAATGTCCCTCAATTTTAATTGAGATAGTCTGTCGATTTTCTTAAACGATCCATCATTTGTCGACATAGTCAAGTTTGTTGATTTTGGATTGATTCTAAAGTATAACATCAAGATCGGCTGTTGATTTTGGCTCTTTATTTTTAACGGGTGAAACTCCTCATATATTGTTATGACATGTAAAGTGAATTCCCAATCTGCACATTCTAAATGTCACATAACACACTTCCTAACGTGTCCAAATATAAATACAATGTCAGGTACTTTCAAGATTATTGGATTTCAAAAGAGAAGGTCGAGTTCAGATGGAGATGATGAAGGATACAATTATGCTCCAGTAACGTAACATGCTTAGAAGGAGTTGGTAATGACAACGATGCAGACTATGACTATGCTTCTGCACCATTCTTGGAAGGAGATGACGATGATGGAGACTATGACTATGCTCCTATTGCATCTTTGGAAGGAGATGACGATGATGGTGACTATGATTATGCTCCAGCTGCATGAATTAATTCATTGGATGCTCTTGATCGTGGCGGATTTAGAATAAACACAACGACTACTATGTCTAAGTCACACATGAGGAAGTAATTTAGAATCTTGGTTTTAGCTAGTACGTCCTTTATTTTTTTTATTGAGGAATAATATCTAGGTTTATATAAGTTTGACATTGAAATATCATTAGTTTAATAGATGCAATGTATCATTAATATTTCTACATTTGAAGAACTTTTATATGGCATGCATAGTAGTTTATTTATATTTCAACGCGTCCACTCATGTGAGATTTAGTTTTTTCATTTGAGCAAAAATAAGATTCTTCTTAATAATAGGGTTGTAAAATTAAAATCACAACATATGTTTAGTTTATTTATCGATTATCATATTGAAGCGTGTCGTCATCTCGTATTATTACTATAACCTTATAAGATTGTTGCAAGAATAAATAGTTTAATTTGTTTTTTTCTTTTTGTTTGCCATAAATTAAAGCTCTGCATCTGGAATAACTCTGAAGAATGGTTCTTGAGAATTCATGCACAAAAGAATGTCGACATTTTTGCATTTGTCGTCAAAGGACATATTGAACTATACTTGAATCGTTTAATCGATAGGTGAATATTTGAGTATATTGAAGATAACCTCTCTATCTTCTCAAATTAATGATCTGACGATAGAAATTACAGAATAGTATCCTATCATGATAAAAATGTGGTTGAATTAGCTCTGGGGAAATTTAGAGGATAGCGAGGGGGTTATTCGAATATCCTCGGTAAAAAAATTACACGGTATATACAAGGTATTTTAAATAAATTTTATATATATATACAGATTTTGAACCTCCTGAACATGAGATTAGACATTGGCTTAATGATTAGGTGGTTTAATATCCACCCTGGCGTTCCAAATTCAAATTTCAAACACTACATTTTTTTTTCGAATTTTACTTGAAAATTCTGAATCCGCCACGACTTAATTAGCTCTATCATTTAGAGTACATTTGTGGAGCCAGTTTGAGCACATAATTATGTCATGACTCACTAGGCATCCTTATATATTCCCCTTTTCTTCTCAACTCATATATCAATTGCAATTTCCCTTAACTATCTTCTCTTTTGATTCAATCTTGAAACAAAAATTTCCAACAATATGTCTCAAATTTCAACAATATTGATGAACTCAATTTGTAATTTGACATTCTTTGATTACCATGTTAAAAGGGGCAACCATGACATTGGTAGTCATGTTTATGAGTCTACGTCGACGATGGATCACCATGTCATAGGGTGTATCTATGTTTCAGCTACATGGTTCGAGGATGATGGAGATGACGATGATGATGATGCTGATTATGACTATGCTCCAGCTGCGTGATCAAAGAAATATTTCTTCTTTCTAAGAAAACCCTAAGATATATGTTAAGCATTGGTATCCTATTTTATAAAATGAAAAATCTTCATACAAAACCATAGTAGATATGTACGATTTGCCAATTTTGATATAAATAATAACACTTTCACTATCTATAAATTAATTATAATTATCTAGCTACCATATATTATCATTAGAGAATTTGACAAATACCTTGTCTATGTGGCATGCCAACGAAGCATCCACGTAGATAAAACTTACTTCCACGTGCTATGCACACGTCTTGCTGGCAAAAAATTGTTTTGGCTTTTCAATTTACCTGAAGATAAAGTTGCACTTTAAATTGGGAGAATAATGGCACTGGCATATCTGAAAATGTGGAAGATGTAGTATGTAGAGAATAATCCAGAAATTTTATATTATGGGTGCTCAAGTTTTTTTAACTCGAAAATTACTACATAGAATGGGTGCTTAATTAATACATTTCAACGAAATTCTAAATTTTACACATAAATAGTAAAGTTTGTCACAAAAGTTAGTGGGTGCTTAAGCACCCATTATGCACAAGGTAGGTCCGCCAATGGATGTAGCTAACGAGTGCTTTCGATTCGATTGAACTTAATAATTTAGTAGTAAAATCATAATAAAAACAATAGAAAAATTTACGTAAATGTACCATCTTTAGTCAATTAGTTTAATTATCAACATGGTTGAAGTGTACATTAACTATATATTATGACGGTATATATTGTCTATAGATATGTATATTATATATATATCTAGTAT